ATTTGTCACCATTTCTTCCACACACCTACAAGAGATATTTATTTGGATCCACGCATCCAAATTACTTTGGATCCTTGAATGTTAGTGCAAAAGTCTCTTGTTCCCTTAAGAACCCATATTTGTCTAATTTTAAAAAGTTTTATAAGTTTTAAAGGAAAAGTATGTTCCATGGGACCATGAAAATGACAATGTGAGCATTTTTCAATTTTTGAACATGATGAATTGTTTTGAGAAATTATTTCTTCTCCTTTTGTTAAGCATTCAAGATTAACTTTTAAATCAAGATTTTCATTTTCTAAATCATTGATTTTGATTTTTGAAACATCAAAATCATTTTTAAAAATTTCATTTAATTTTTCAAAATCTATTTTTGCTTTCAAAAGAAAATCATTTTCAACTTTAAAATTTGAAATTAATTTCTTATATCTGGAATTCATGGTCTCAAATTCCAAATACAATTCATCATAGGCATCTTGTAACTCTTTAAATGAATAAGAATTTAAATCACAAGAGTTAAAAGTTACCCTTGAATCTTCTTCGATGTCCATGAGACATAGGTTGACAACTTCATCTTCATCATTGGAGTTTTCTTCATGTCTCCAAGCCACCACAAATGCCTTCTTTTTTACTTGATCCCTTCTTCTTTAGGAGGGGATATTCATATTTGACATGTCCCATTCTTTGGCATCCAAAGCACCGGAGAACTCTTTTTCTTGCTCGATTCATGTTGCAATTCCTTTCCTTTGGAGGACATGAATCTTATGAATCTTTTGACGAGTTTGTCCATATCTTCATCTTCATTCACCTCTTCACTTGAGTCTTGATTACTCTCATTGGTGGATTTGAAGGTGATTCCTACCTCCTTTTTTTTTCTTGTTCTCCTCTTGTTATTCTTTCTTCTTCTTTTGGAGTTTCACCTCATAAGTGAGTGAAGAGCCAATAAGCTCATAGAGGGTGTACAACTCCAAATCATTGGTGTCTTTGATGGTGGTAGCTTTGCCTTCCCAAGATGTAGGCAATGAGGCAATCATCTTTCTTACTATTTCTTCATTGGGATAGACCTTCCCAAAGTTCTTTAACTCATTGATAATTGAAGTGAACTGATCGGACATCCTCTTTATGTCTTCATCAGTCTTTATCTTGAAGTTCTCGTAGTTGAGAGTGAGAATACCAATCTTGGACTTCTTCACTTGGTTTGTTCCTTCATGAGTCACCTCCAACTTATCCCAAATCTCCTTAGCATTATAGCAGGAAGATACTTTACTATATTTGTCTGGGCCAAGATCACAAAAGAGAATGTGCATGGCTTTGGCAATGAGTTGGGCAAGCTTCTTATTTTCACTTATCCATTCTAATCAATTCCTTGGAGGAAAGGAAGAACATTCGACGATGACATCTCAAATCGCAAGGCCGGTGGCTTGGATGAACAACATCATACTATTCTTCCAATAGGAATAATTTACTCCATTAAAGTAGAAAGGCCTATGGATGGAGTGAGAGTTCTCAAGATAATATGCGCCAAATGTGGAAGTCATCTTCTCGGTTGAATCGAGAATTGATAGAGAGCTCCAAGAATCTTTACAAGGTTGTTAGTCATTCGATTTGTGACCTAGTCTGATACTAATTATTGTGATTTTCGTTGCTCTATCGATCAATCGGAATATTTCCAAGAGGAAGAATTGCATAATGATTTATAGTGGTTCAACTTCCTATATGAAGTCTACATCCACTACCTTAGCTCCTTACTAAGGATTTCGAACAAATTCATTAATTTGTTCTTTCTTTTTTTAGGCTCAAGAGTAACATTTTACAAATTCTTTAGTTTTAAATGACTAAACTAGAACTATCAACAAAGGATAAAAGATGTGTAAACAAGAAAACTTCTACAATGTAGGTGCTTACAATTTTAGCTCACTAAAACACTCTATTTACAAGAGAAAAGGAAAAATAAGAATGAAAGAGTTTTTCTCTTAATGTGGATTGATTGGATAGTTCTTCAAGTGTCCTTAACTTGGTTTTATATGTTGGAATGAGTTTGTAACCGTTTCTAGCCATTGGGGTGTTGCAAAATAAAAGTGCCCAGACTAGGGAGTATCGAAACTCAGGCTTGGAGTATATGTACTGCCCTAATAACTTTTAAATAAAATTAGTCGTTTCATATCGTTGAGCTAAAACAATATCGATACTACTATACAAAGTAGTATCGATACTCATAAGAGTATCTATATAAAAAATACCTACTAAAATCTGAACACCTTTAAAATGAATAGACAATATCGATACTGTCGTATGAGTATCGATACTTCGTTTACCTTTAGTATCAATATTGTAAGAACAATATCGGTATTGTTCTTGCGATATTGATACTGTAAGCACAATATCGATACTGTTTTGCCAGAAAATTGTTCTTGTGTTCAAATTCTTTTTCATGGACTTTGAATTATTTTTTAAAGCTTTGAATAAATTTAATCAAGTCCAAAAACATTTTGCCCTAAATTTGTTATATCAAAATAGGTTCAACAGAAATCGCTTAGAAATTCCTTCCATATCCGTTCTGTTTGGTGATAGAGAAAGGTAAGATTGTATTCGCCTGATCACTACGATTGTCCTTATTGTTGTGATCGTTTGTTGTTGTATCCTAGGAGACTGATGTTCAACATTACTTAAATCACCGAGAAGATGACAAATCTGTCTTAAGGAAATTGTTCTTACATGCCTCAACAAAACTTCCTCTTCTGTTTATTTGACTCCATTCATCCGATTTCATGTCAAAATACGAGTAAACAATTTCATTTCTCTACTTCAATTCTTTATTTATTTTGTTTTGTTTGATTTACATAATGATATTTTATTATTATTATTATTATTATTATTATTATTATTATTTTATGTATCAGATTAAACATTTTGTCTAACACCTCTTTAGTGATTTAAATTCTCAAAATAATCCTTATATTAATCTTTGATAGATTTGTTGACTCTGATCTTAATTTGAACACCTATGATAAACACTCATCTATCAATATTATCATCTATCAATATTATAGATTTCAACATATCGAACATTTAAATTGTCACATCTAAGTCCTCTACGAGGATTACCTCCCTCCAGGTAACTTCGCCACAAGTCATGACTCTATGGACCCAAAGTCCACTAATACAACTATAAGGATTAAAAGTAATGTGAATGTAGTTTAAATTATATTAGTGGAGCAAACTTCTGTATAACCCCCAAGACATGTTGTGAAGCTGCGACTCGGGCGCTAAGCCTAGCTTTAGACCCCATTATGCTTCCGTTTACATGATCTTATACATAGGGATGGTAATCTCACCCGCATTTGACTGGTTTCGATCCGATTAAATTTGATCGGGTTAAATTTGTTAAGGGATAAAGTCAAGTCGGGTCAGATTCGAGTGGAAGGTGGGATAATAATGTAATTTCTTTAAAAATTATTATTATTATTATTTTTAATTAAATCCTTAATTTATACCAGGTCGAATCAAGTTGGATTTATACTTTAAAAAATCGGGTTGGCTCAGAGTCAACTGGAAGATATATATATTCCCGGGTTGAATCGGATGTAGGATATAAAATTTTCGTGTCTAGTCGGATCTAGGTAAAGGTTGCATATTTTCGAGTCGGGTGGAGTTGACCAAACACCCGACCCGTTGCTGTCCCTACTCCAACACCCCCATGATCTGATACACTATCACACTAATCTGAAGCTGTTCTTTTAAGTAGGGGCTACAAAAGCATCAACATCCCTTAAACAATCCTTATTGAAGTGGTCAGACAATCCACACTGATAGTTGATTTACTCCACTAAAACTCCAGGGTGATTAGATTTGCAAACTAGAAATTGATTCACTCCCTGCAACTTCATGGAGGTTGGGTTTGAAAATTGAAATTAAACCTGCTTCTTTGTAACTTGAGGAAGTTTAGACCTAAAAACTAAAAACTAATATGCTCCATTTCAGCTTCAGGAAGATAGAATCTAGTATACTCTATTGCGAATTCAAGAAGATAGAATTTTGTGTTTTGAGATTTTATTATCCCCTTTGTCGTTCTTGGAGAAGTATAATTTGTAAATTGAGTGATCATTTTCACTACAATTTCAAGGGAATAAAATTTTATTATTTTATTTTAATTTATTTATCATCAGCTCTGTCACAACTTTAGAAAGATACGACCAGCAAAAGTTATCATATTCCTTTTAACAAATACAATTCATTACTGTATTTGAGGGTTTTGATTATCATGTCTGAAGGATTTAGTGACTCAAATACTTAACATCATGCTTGAAAGATTTACTAATTACTTAAAAGTCTTAATATCATATTAGAAGATCTTTTAGATTATCCGAGAAAAATTTATCATATTGCTCTAAAGACTTACATATGACTTGAAAGACTCAGAATTATAATTGAAAGACTTATAAATGACTAGAAAAATTTAGCATCATGCTTAGAGGACTTAGTGATAACCTAAAAGATTTAACATACTTAAAAATGACCAAAGAATTTCATATCATACTCGAAGGAATTAAAATTACCCAAAGAATTTAATAAGTGAAAAGTCTTTGAAAGTCATTTTTTATTTTTTATGTTCAAAATTCAATTTTTTATTAATTACATGAAGATACATGCCGAGGTAATATTTAAACATAACTAACAAAAAATATAATTTAAGACTTTTTTTTTAAAATTTTGAAAAGTATAAATATTAAATTTTAATAATTTAAATTAGAGATATTAAATATATAAAATTAGCATAATATAGGGGTGAAATGCACATTTTGACATAATATACGGGTGAAATGCATAATATTTAAACAATTTGATCAAGAACTAAAGAAACAATGCCCCCATCATCCAGTCATATTGGGCTTGATTTTCAAGGCTATGGACTTCAATTTACAAACAAAAAGAGACTTGTTTTAAACAAAGCCCAATATTTAAAGTAGAGTTTTGTTAGCACCCAAAGGGTTTAGGATTTTTAAGCTCTCGGTACTTGATTATTCTTCTTCCTGCCTGCCGCTACTTATCGCCATATTATCTGCTTCCATGCTACAGCTAGCGTCGAGTACGCTTATCTCTGTCTTTTGAAGGACAAATTTTCCGAATCAGCCTTTAAATCCAATCCAGGTTAGCTCAACCTTTTGATTTCTTCTATTTTTTTCGTTTTCAATTCCAACGAGTGGGATTCATTATATGTGATGACGTTTTCGGAAAGATTGCTTCTTCTTCTTTTTTTTAATTTGAGTCTATGCAAGATTTGTTCGTTTGGGTATTGAAGTTTTTATTTTTATGAATTATGTTGTTTGGAGATGAAGAGTTTGATCAAAGTAACATAATTATGCTATTAGCTTTGTTCTTCTGAATTTCTGATTGTGTTTTATTTACTGAAACAATTTCTTAGAGGCATGGTTGAAAGATTCGAACTGAATTAAAACTATAAATTAATAATAATTATGAAAAATTTATTAAAAAGTGTCATGGCCCACGAGGCATAAATGGAAAAATTGAGAAGTAATTGAGGAAAACAATCGAACTAGAGATTTTGGAGGAAAAATGAATTAATCAAATGGACCAAGCGGGAAACATACCTGAGGGGAATCACATATCAGATGGGTGTTGTGGACTAGAGAAGAACAAGCCCAAACCAGAGAAGAACGAGCTCAATAGCCTGCAAATGAATCCAGAAGAAGAAAACAACGGTTAAGAGAATATTAGTTATTAAAAAGGAATATACAGCTGGCACTCTTTTATTGAGCAATCTTAACTATATACCGGTTGTAAAAACAAATAAAATTATCAATGAAAATGCAATGAAGTTCTTTTCCTCAATCTATTCTACTCTATTTCTTAAACCCTTTCTTAAATTCTAAACACATCCATTACAATTAGTATCCAGATCAAGGTTATTTTGATCTAAAAGTACAATTTTTTTTTTCAAACTGGGTAAAACACGAAAGCCACAGCAAATGACTTACAATGATCCGTTGTCGATCATTGTTGCTAATCCAAAAGGGTCCTCAGGAGCAGAAGTGATTCCAACTTGGTGGCTTAATCAACAACATGATTTGGAGCAAAGGATGCAAGCCTTAGAGACAACAACAAATGAAACTAAAATATGCCTCTATTAACTTTTGGGGTTGATACAGAAAGCTGGAACTGAGTCTGGACAATCTTCTCCTACAAAACAACAACCATTACCCATAGCTCAGACTAGAGCAGCAAGTTAGCTACCTTTACAATTCACAATCATTGATGATCGTGAGAAGTATTCATTTCAACTAGGACAACCATGGATTCTAGCCTCGAAACCTACTTTTCAACAGGATCCTAATCAAACAACCCATGATGCTTTTAAGATGAAATTAAGAGTCAATACAAGTGAATCAGGGGAACAATCTACCATTAAAGGTTATCCATTCATGGAAAAACATTCCAACAACACCAATACTGGTATGTTTCTTCCAAAACCCAAACTAGAGCTCCAGTTCTTTGATGGTAGTAATCCTAGGAGTTGGATCCGGAAATGTGACAAATATTTTTCTATTTTTGTTGTTCCTAAATTTCAAAAGTTAGAGGTATTTACTATGTACTTCATTGGTAAGGAAGAAGTATGGTTTGATGGGTATATTTTGAAGAAAAGTCGAGTTACTTGGCATGAATTTGTTTATAATATGTGTCATAGATTTTCTGATAATGGATATAGTGATGTCATTGATGGGTTTAATAAATTGACTCAACTATCTTCTGTGGAGGAGTATGAAGCTCAGTCTGAGGAACTTCAACCTTTCCTTCTTTAGATTAATCCTGAATTAGGAGAGGAATATTTTGTTTTCAGTTTTTTGATTGGCCTTAAGGAGGATCTGAAACATAAAGTAAAAGTTTTGGAGCCAAAGACTGTAAGTGAAGCTGTTAGAAAAGCAAAGCTTTATGAGCTGTCCTTGGAAGTGGAAAACAAAAGATTTAATAGTTTTCCAAAACCAATAATGCAAAGGCATAATACCAGTTACAGAACATCTAATTCCTCAATAAGTTCACCTTTGAAAAGCAACCAAGGGTTGACTCAAAGCAAACAACAGTTGATGGAGTATAGGAGGGAAAATAATTTGTGCTATAAATGTGGTGATATATTCACCCCGGGCCATCACTGCAAACTGAAACAATTGAATTCAATGGAAGAAGTGGATGAGCAGGAGGAATCAGAAGAATTACAGGCAACACATAATGCTTATGATATAATGACATTAGAGGAAAAAGAACCTGAGATTTCTATGGATGCAATAACTGGCAATTCAGGAAGTAGCACCTTATGGATCCAAGGATTCATCAAAGGGAAACCACTCAATATTTTGATTGACAGTGGCAACACCCATAGTTTTGTCACTAACAGGTGGGCTAAAGAATGATTGGAATTGGAGGTGTCACAACCTGAAAAATAATAATAATAAATATAAGCATTGGTGAAATTTGAGGGTCAAATTAAAAGTTTCCAAAACTAGTAGGTCATTTTAGAAGTTGAAGGAAATTTAGGGACCAAGCCCTGAATTTCACCATTTTTTGTCGGCAGGGATTCCTAATAAATGCGTTGAATTGGTTTCTGGGTGTAAATCATAAACCAATTCTTAAAATTTCCTCCCCGCATACCTTCCTTCAAAGGTCGATTATGTCACCGTTCGGCCATTCCAGCTTGCACTACCACTCCCGTTTGGTTCATCGTTAACCGATGAATAAAACCCTGTAAACCTCTCATCGTGAAACGTTTTCTAACGCCGTGAATTTCGATTCAAAGTTTCAAAGTTTTTTAACACCACCACCGTGAAAATCGTCGATTCACCGTCGATCGTTGCTCTTTTTTCGACACCTCTCACACTATCGTGTTCCTTGTGTCATTCCGAGTCCACCGGTGTCTTTCTTATCTCCGTCATCGCCGGCGCGTGAGGGAGGTGAGGAAGTTAAAGTTTCAGACATTTTAAAATCGAGCTCTCCGCCATTTAAAATTTTGAACAAAGCTTGGTAAATTTCTCAAAATTCCATAAAATAATTTTATAAATTTTTCTAGAATTTTAACAATATCACAAGACACCGCACGCACCCCTATGCGTCGTCACTGCACGTGGGAAATGTCTACCATGTGGTGGATAGTTTTGACCCGACCTGATCTGACCGACCCAACCCGTTGACCGTTGACTTTGACAAAAAAGTCAAACTTTTCGAAAAGTCATATTTTATGTTTTTTGACATCATGAGTCCGATTCTGAAATCCGTTTTGCCAAATTTTGACCCGAATGCCCCGAAGCGAGCTCGTTAACCAAAAAATACTTAGTATTTTTAGCATTTTTCTTATTTATTTTTTATATGGTTATGGAATTGATCCAATAAGATATTTTTATTCGGTACTCGTGTTTCACCTGAACAAGGGTCAGTTAGGTCTGGTGTTTTCCGTTCGTCAGATCCGCTCGATTAGAATTCTACGAGAATTACCGTAGGTTTCCTTTAATTATTTAAATAAAGGTTAAGATTATTCATATTAGGATTCCAATATGAATTTTTCCGATTCGTATAATCTAGCGCTGCTGCAGATCGTGATCGACAGACTCAGTAGTAGGCTTCCCTATCCGATTACTCAGACTGTTATAGGTGTGTTTCCTGACGGTGTTACCTTACTGTTTTAAAATATCTATCTTAATACTGTTTATTTGATATCTGATTTACTGCATACTTCTGATATGATTTCTGGTTACGGTATTTTTTTATACCTGATTTCTGAATATTGTTTATTCGACATATGATTTACCTATGTTACTGATTTGACTTCTGATTTTCGTATTTCTGTATATGATCTCCAAGCATGGAACATTTTCATGTTTTAAAGGATTAATCATCATTTTCATTTAAATACATTCATGGTCATTGGGGGCATTATTGGAGGAAGTAAATATGCATGCTCTTCGGCTTTGTGCTCAGGGCCTTAATGATGTATAGGGGGTGTATGGTTCTGAGGAACCTACACATTCTGATTTGATCGGATGGGGGGTAGTGTTCATGTTTTTAAAACATGTTTGATAAACTAATTTTACTGAAATATTTTATCTGTATGTTTTTTATACACTGTATGAAGCACACCGGACTTTTTAGCTCATTTTGTAAATTTTAACATTTTCAGATAACAGTAGAACGTAAACTAGTAGACTTGGCATCAAGGGAGATCTACTACTGGTATTTTTGTAAAATATTATATTTCTATATGTCTTTCTACTATATTTTGGTGGCATGTGTTACTACCGTCATGATATGTTTGTATTTCTGGTATTTTGATATGTATGTGTTTTATACGGTTTTCTAAAATATGTATTAATATATTTTTATTGTATAAATCTTTATTATGGATAAATTTCATAAGTTACTGAGACATGGATTTCAACGTTGTTTTAAATATAAAAAAAATCTAAATGTGATACATAATCACCTAAACATGGGCATAACGTCTAGGCCGGGTCTAGGGGGTTACAGGAGGAAACTAATCCATTAGTCATCACAGTAGCTAATGGTGACAAACTTTACATCATAGCAAAAAGTAAACAATTAAGTTGGGAGATGCAAGACTTTACCTTTGTCTATGATTTTAGGGTTTTACCCCTTAAAGGTAGTGATATGGTGATAGAAGTTGACTGGATGAAGAAATACAGTCCAATATTGATGGATTTTAACAACATGACTCTTAGTTTAAAATGGGTGACCAAGATATTGTGTTGAAAGGAGGGCTGAGCACTTCTGTAATGAAGGTGATTTAAGGCAACAGAATGCAAAAACTGATGACTAAAAATCCTGATTTGGTGGGGGAAATTTATATGTTAAATGCAGAGGTTAGTGACAATGAAATACCTCATGCAATCCAGCAGTAATAGCTGACTACATGGATGTGTTTGAAGAACCTACTAGAATGCCTACAAAAAGGAAGCATGATCATTCTATTACCCTAAAATCAGGAACTGAAGCAGTCAATGTAAGACCCTACAAAATGCCTTTCCATCAGAAAACTGAGGTTGAGAAACAAGTGGTTGAGATGTTAGCTGCATCAATTATTCAAACCAGCAAAAGCCCTTTTGCTTCACCTTGCTTGTTAGTCAAAAAGAAATACGGTAGCTGGAGAATGTGCATTGATTATAGACAGTTAAATGCACTAACTGTGAAGAACAAGTTTCCTATTCCTGTGGTTGATGATCTATTTTATGAACTAGCTGGAGCTAAAAATTTTTCTAAATTGGATTTAAGATATGGATACTGGAAAATTCGGATTACACCTGAAGACATTCCAAAAACAGCCTTCAGGATACACCATGGTCATTTTGAATTTAAGGTGATGCCATTTTGTTTAACTAATGCACCAACTACTTTTCAAGCTCTTATGAATAATCTACTTGGATCATACCTCAGGAAATTTGTTCTAATATTCTTTGATGATATTTTAATCTACAATCCTAATTTGCATAGTCATACACAACAATTAAGAATTGTTTTGGAGATTTTAAGGAAAAACCAGCTTTTTGCTAAGAGAAATAAATGTTTTTTCGGCCAATCAGAAGTGGAGTATCTTGGACATACTATTTGTCAACATGGTTACAAAGAATTTGAAATCTTTACGAGGTTTTTTGGGCCTCACTGGCTACTATCGAAAGTTTATTAAGGTTTACGAAGAAATTAACAAACCCCTCACTACAATGTTAAAGAATGATCAATTTATCTGCACTGAGGAAGTTAAGAAGGCATTTATCGGCCTTAAAAAGACTATGTGTAGTGCTCCAGTGCTAGCTCTACCAGATTTCAGCAAACGGTTTTGTTTGGAAACTGATGCTAGTTCCAAATGTATAGGCGCAGTCCTATCTCATGAGGGTAAACCAATTGCTTACCTCAATAAGGCTTTGGGACCCAAGCAGGTTGACTTATCTATTTATGAGAAAGAGTATTTAGCAATATTAATGGCTATTTCCAAATGGAGACATTATCTCGAAGGAAGTCCCTTTACAATCAAAACATATAATGAATCCTTGAAGCATTTGCTAGAACAAAAGCTCACTACTACAATTCAAAAGAAAGGTTTTACCAAATTGTTGGGACTGGACTACTCAATTCAGTTTCGCAAAGGAAAACACAATAGAGCTGCTGATGTCTTATTAAGACGGTTTGAAGAATATTATGAATTAAATCAGTTATATGCTACAGTAGTAATTCCTGATTGGGTACTTGATGTGGAAAACAATTATGAAGGGGATTCTTTGGCAAATATTTAATTTCTAAGCTGCTAGTTGGAAATCAAGGCATATCAGATTGGTTTTACACTAAAGCTGTCTTAAGGTATATTGGTGAGACAGGTGGATTAAGAGAACAAGTACTTTCTACACTTCATGATTCACCACAAGGTGGCCACTCTGGGATACAAGCTACCTACTATCGAATGAAATTATATTTTTACTGGAAAGGAATGAAGGCATTGGTTAAACAATATGTTCAACAGTGCGATGTATGTCAGAGAATCAAACATGAACATGTACTACAGCCTGGGCTACTACAGCCTTTACCCATTCCACATCAAGCTTGGGAGTTTATTACCATTGACTTTATTGAAGGGTTGCCTCCTTCTAATAGATACAATTCTATTTTGGTGATAATTGACAAGTTAACCAAATATGGGTATTTTTTACACTTGGTTCATCTTTTCACATCTACTGAAGTTGCTACTTAAGTCAGGTCTATAAACTTCATGGCCAACCTAAGGTTGCTCTCTCTGATCGAGACAAGATTTTTACTAGTACTTTTTGGAAGGAGTTATTGAAGTTATTAGGGACTACAACCCTATTTACAACTGCCTATCATCTTCAAACGGATTGTCAGACCAAGAGGCTTAATCAATGTCTGGAGCAGTACATACGAGGACTTTTTTTAAAGCCAAATTCATGGGCTAAGTGGTTATCTCATGCATAATGGTGGCACAACACTAGTTTTCATGCAATATTAGGTACTACTCCCTTTACTGCCATATATGGTTACACACCACCAATGATGACTTGGATGACTGAATCAAGGGTGGCTGATGTGCAATAGTTTATGCAAGAGAGGGACAATGTCTACATTATACTACTTGACCAACTTAACAAAGCACAACATCGAATGAAACATTATGCAGATCAGAAACGCAGTGATCGAGAGTTTAAGGAAGGGGAAAAGGTTTACCTTAAGCTTCAGCCTTATAAGTAGACCTTATTGGCCTTGTCCAGAAATCTAAAATTGTTTGCTCGTTACTATAGTCCCTACAAAATCAAAATGCGAATTGGTTCAATGGCATACCAACTGGAATTACCATATCATTCTCGACTCTATCCGATATTTCACATCAGTCTTCTAGAAAGAAAAATTAGAGACAAAAGGGTTGCTTCAAGAGACCCACCTAAACTTACTTCCGATGGCCAGCTTCGGGTTTATCCTGTGATTGTTTTGGATAAGCGAGTTATCAAAAGGAACATAAAGGCAATTACTCAAGTATTAATCAAGTTGTCGAATTCAGGAATCGAAAACGCAACCTGGAAAAATATCACGATGCTACGATCATAATTGCCTGACTTCGATCTTTGGGGACAAGCATCGACTGCAGCTGGGGGTATTGTCATGACCCACAAGGCGGAAATGGGAAAGGATGAGAAGCAATTGGGGAAAACGATCGAATTAGGAATTTTGGAGGAAAAAAGAATTAATCAGATGAACCAGGCGGGAAACATACCTGAGGGGAATCACGAATCAGATAGGTGTTATGGACCCGAGAAGAACAAGCCCAAACCAAAGAAGAACGAGACCAATAGCCTGCAAATGAATCCAGAAGAAGAAAGCAACGGTTAAGAGAATATTAGTTGTTAAAAAGGACAATACAACTGGCACTCTTTTATTGAGCAATCTCAACTATATACCGATTGTAAAAACAAATAAAATTATCAATGAAAATGCAATGAAGTTTTTTACCTCAATCTATTCTACTCTATTTCTTAAATCCTTTCTTAAATTCTAAACACACCCATTACAAAAAGCTAAAAAAAAAATGAGATACTGTTTTTACAAGAAAAGCAAGGGTGGGAAGAGTGCCTTATGATGTTTTTTTTTTATGAATGTTTTACTTTGAACTTCAATCATAATTTGAGTTTTTTTTTTAATTTCTTGTTGTTCAGACTCCAGCTAGCTTGTGTCGTAATAACATAAAGATGTTTATTGAAGCACCCGCCACCATGGAGGTTGAAACAGTGCCTTCTGAACCTAAACCCGAATCAAATCCATTGCCCCCAAAGCCAATATTCGAGTCTCTTTAAGGCTCACGAGATGTCGGACGGTCGAGTCCAGTTTAGAAGGGTCTCGGTTCCACCTCACAAGTATTCGCCTCTCAAGAAATGCTGGATGGACATCTATACTCCAATCTACGAGCAGATGAAGGTTGACATCCGAATGAATCTCAAAGTTCGGGTGCGTGTTTCGTATGTGAAAAGTCAGTAATAACCTTATCTCATATGATATGGTTACACGTTTTAAGGATAATTTATCAGATGAGAATGACTGCTGATCCCCATTTCTTAGTTTGCATGGAGAAAGTAATTACAAACACTTGAATCCAACTTCAATTTACACTATTTGATCTATTATGTTGTGTGGAACGTAGAGTTAAAAGCCCTATCACACCTTTTAGAAATCCAATTTCTTTGATTCTTATCTTTATAGGCATTTTGGTTCAAGCTTTTCTTTAAAGGAAAAGAAGATTCATTTGTTATAGTATTAAGACTAACTAATGGCATGCAAATAAATAAATCAAATTATAGCAATTTAACAATGGAAAGTGAAGTGAATCAGAGGAGTAAACCCTAAAATCGATAACAATATAGACACCAAAATCAGAATTCGACCATTAACCTAATCCATCAAAACAGAGCATGTTTATTGCGTTGAACACCCATTAATCAACTGATAGAAAAAACTTCAATGACAAGATTTTTTTTTTTGAGCAATGGAGACCAACCAATCTTCAATCTTACACTGTATGTAAAGATGATTCAGATTCATAGTTGAAAAAAGGAAGTTCATAAAGACTGCATCTTGATTATATCAAATCATACAACAATATGAACAAACAAATAAGGAAGAAAGAAACAAATCCCCCAATTATTCACAACCACAGCACGAAATTAAAAAGAAGAATCTAGAAAGGAGGAGGAGCTGCATAGCCCAGAAAAGGTCTTCCACAAAAAGAGGATTTAGGGTCACAAATATCTTCATGGAAGGTATCTTGGAGCTTGTGAAAGCCGTGCTTGAAAACCCCGAAACCGAACAACAACCCAATCGCCACCACCACTAGAATCAAGCAAGTGCACAGCATGCATATTCTCCCGCAACACATCTTTAATCTAACACAAAAGAAATCTGGGGATTCTTTAGTGAGTTTATAACGATGAAGAAAGGAATTTATAGGGTGGGTTTTGGATCTGGAAGAGCAACAAAAACGTGAGATTGAAGGGGGAAAGTGAAAGCTTAAAAATGCTTGGACGTTAGGGAGATTGAAATTGAAATCGGGGTGTTGAATGACTTAAAAGGTCAGCAACACAGGCGGAGTTTTACACAGAAATTTCTGTTTGTCTTTGCTTTACCCTTTTAAGTAAATAAACTACAAATTCCCCCTCCAACTTCACACGGAAAAAATTATAAGGTTAAATTACTGGTTTAGTACTTAAACTATTTATTTTAGTACCTAAACTTTTATTCTTTTTAAAATCATACATAACATTTAGTTTTAATTTTATTAGTATCCCTTTGTTAAAAACCTTTGATGGACTAGCTGATATGGCATATTTCCCATTGACAGACTACCAATCTAAACGCTGAACCATGAGAGAGTGACGAGTCGACCAACACAGTCTAATTTCATATCCATCGGAAGGTAGATCATAGAGATCGGATGATGAAAAAATCGAAGAGTCCATCGTCAATTTGGGGAGATTGAGGCGTTTTTCAATCCTGTTCAGGGGGGTGCAGACTAAAAAATTTGTGTTTCATCGACAGAAAAATGCAACGGTTGACGACTGTAGACGCGACGACCGATGAGCGCGTCTGTTAAGTTTCTAATGATTAGGTATTATAATAAAATAAAAATAAATGTCAGGTATGATTTGAAAAAAATAAATGTTTGAATATTAAAATAGATAAAAATTAATAGTTTAGATACTAAACACATAATTTATCCAAACTTAAATTGCTTCCCCAGTTCGACGCAATCCATTCATAAAAACAATCGGAAAGTGTACCAACTTTGCTTGCAAAAAGGAGTTTATCCTTTTGGGATTGGATTGGGTACCTTTGAGTTGTGGGATTAGGCTGGCCTTTGTATGATGGAAGGATTTTGGTCTATTAAAAGCAAATATTTTTAAATAAGAATAAATAAAATTCGATTTAATTTTTTTAAAATTTTAAAAAATAAATAAACTTTTTGTGTTGAGTTATTTAATTCAAATTAATTTTAATTTCAGTTTTTAAGTATGCGTTGAGTTTAATTTTTTAATTTATAAATTAAAATTTTAAATTCGATAATTATTTATTTAAATTCTTCATGAATATATTTCTTCAATTCCTCTTCCTTTTAAATCAAACACTCTTAAATTATTTTAAAATACTTATTTAACTTCAATTTTTTTTAAAAATATATATTTTATATTTTAATTTAGTTATTCAATTTTGTATTTTGTAATAATTTTTTATAAAATTTAATTCATGTGTTCCACTGACACTCTAAAATACCAATATAACTTCAATTTTTATTATTAAATTTATTCTTCTATTTAATTTAGTCCTATTTATTTAATTTGATCATTTGATTATTTTTTTTTATATTTCTTTCTTCATCATTTCCTCCGACTCTTTTATATCATTATTAATAAATTATCCTAAAAATATACTATTTGAAAATAATATCATAAATATATTTTTATAATTTTAAATATTTTATTTATTAAATAATATTATAAATTTTAATTATATATGTATAACAGAATATGCAAAAAAATGTATATGCATGTCCTTTGTAATTAAAAAAAACTCATTTAAATTGTGTACTATAATACTATAAGAATTATAATTAAATTTCAAGAAAAATTTGAAACATTAAATTTAAATTTCATAAATTTGATCCGATTTAAAAATATTTTAAATAGAGTTTAAATCATAAAATAAGATTATTAATTCAACTAACTCAAAAAAAATTCAAATTGGATTGAATAATCTCCTCTATTTTATAGCTCAAATTATAGGTTTGTGCACAAATCAAGTGGCCTCCATGGTAGAGAAATTATTAGTATTTCTTGAGGACATGGGTTTGAGCAATATGAATATCAAGGTGTGAGCGTTTAATTTCAAAAGGTTGAAAGTTATCTTTGAACACTTGTAATTACCCAAGATTAATAAAAATAATTATAGGGTTGTTGTCTCTCAAAACTTTTCAATCTTTAACCATGAGTCAAATTACAGTTTTTGTCCCTATATTGAACTAAAAGTGTAATGCTGATCCTCAAATTGGTGAAACATTCTTCAAATCAAGTTACTACATTATTATCTCAAGCAGCAGCAACATAGCAGAGTGCACTGTCACTATGCCCATATTAAGTTTTTACAGGGACAAGTGATCCTACCACAGATCATATTGTCAAAACATATATTTTTTAATACTTTAAATATTGATTGCATTTATAAAGACAGCATCTTGAATACAGTTTCATCAAAGAAATTGGAAACCATGCAGAAACAAACAATTCCAAATGCTTCTAGGTATTTAATATAAAATTAAAGTAACAAAAAAAAACCATCAAGTGGTTTCAATAGTAAAAGGAAATATTTTTATTCCTACATGTCCCAAGTTCGAATAGTTACATATGCAGAGAGTGTATACATTGTCAATCGGTTAAAAATTATAAACAAATATTACTATTATATAAAAAACAATCAAATAAAATATTAGTGAGAAGAATGCCCTGGAATACAGTTTAGACTTAAATGATTAATTAAAAATATAAATCTAACTAAGTTTGAGGGGGTTTTTTCTAATAAGGTAAACAATTTTATTAATTAGCCCAATAGGGCATACTAAAGTTTATTTTGAGATCTACAATATTTGTTACAGTATTGAAGGCACCCGTCACATCAAGATGACGAGTTTCACTGAAAATTATATTTTATTTGAACGATTAATGTTTAATTTTTTTTGTGAAACTTGTCATATCGATGTAATGAGTTCCATTAAAATAATATTATATAATGTTTTTTTTAATTTGGAGCTTTTTATCAAAAATAAAAAATTATGAAACTCGTCATGCCGAGGTAACGAGTTCCTTTGGGTTTAAAATAAGTAGCCATTGGCCAACAACATTTTTTTGAATTGATGAAACTTGTCATGTGGGCGTGACAAGTTCCAACGGTTATTTTGGCAAATTTTTATTATAAATAGAAATGGGGTGAGTTGATAAAGTCTACATGAGAATGAAATCATGCATTTGTGAGAAGAATATTATGAAAAATTTCTAAATGATCTATTTGGGTTTGATTACTTAAACATCGAAGATTTAGATTTGGGCTCGTCTTCAAATGAGGAGTGGGTAAAGAAGACAATGAAGTCGATACTTGATCATCATAAAGAGAGAAGAAGAAGAGAAGAAGAAGATGAAAATCGGGGAGGAGAAGAAGAAGAAGAAAAAGAAGAAGTATGAAGACTTACGAATCCGTCTTAGTAAACAACTTATAGAGAGGAATGAAAAAATAAAAATAATATTGTAGAAATTAAAAAGAAGAATAAGACGAAAAGTTAATTTTTATGTTAAAAAATAATATGAATATGTGTTTAGTTAAAAGTTATTTATGAGTAGTTTGCAAGTTAAAAATTTAGATGATTAATTATGTTCATAAATTATCCAAAAAAGGTACAACAAACAACATAAGAACGAAATTATGAAGGTTTTATTGGCCCGATCAATATTTAGGAAGATGTGAACAATGATTCCTGTTGTCATCTTTACAGTGCCAGAAAGCTTTGTTAGATCTTTCTCTCGTTGAGGATCATCCATATCAATATGAATTCGACTAGATTCAAGTCGACCCTTCAACTTCCTTTGTAATTGGGGATTTGACAACCATTCTTCAAAAATTGTTGGTGGCCAATAAGCATCGTTTAAAAGATACTTAAACTCACAACTATATATGTTGTTTATAATATGCAGGCTATAATAAATATCAACATAAGAGTATGGGTCAACATTAACATGCATACATGCAACAACAATGTGAGCGCATGGTACCTAAAAGCTTGAAATCGACCATAATCACACTATCTTCTATTGAGATTACCAGCGTATATGGTAGAATTACCACCCTCATGTGGTCCAACAAGTGCTTGGATAACATAATTATAATCAAGTCTGGAAAAATTATAAACAAACATTAATGTTGCATGTGTTTGATTTTTGTTCATTGCCTTCTCCAAATCTGGAGCCCAATTTCTATCATCGTTGATCACTGCCTTTATTTGTGCACTTTTTTATGCCCAAACTTTACCCAATCAAAAGTAAGCCTCCATAATAATAATTGATATTGGAAGATGTCTAGTACCTTTAAGCACTGAATTTATACATTTGGAAAGATTGGTTATCATTTGGCCATAATGTTTATCATGGTCATCATATGATTGTGACTATCTTCCCTGAGGTATTTCAACTGCAAAGTTATAGACAACTTCTCCGTATTTCCTCAAATTTTCCAACCTCGCATGAAAGTTCGATTGTTGTAAAATATATCATAGAAAAAGTTGGATTTAAAAATAATAATAAATGAATAACATAAATGAAGCAAAAATCATAAACGAAAAAAAGAATAAGTTACCCATGTTGATAATCTTTTTTTTAATCTTTTTTTCTTAAACCTTGTCATAACATTGGAAGCAATATGACGTATCCAATACGTCAGATATGCATAGGAAGGCGACCACCTACTTGCAGGTTAATCAATACGCCATATATATGTGGGGAGGCTACAAACCGAATTAAACTAAAACCGATCAGTACAAAAACAAAGTACAAAAGTATCATGAACACAATCATGGTGTGTCGACTCCCGTTTTGTCCGGGTTATTATTTATATTATTATTACTATTATTACTTTTATTATTATTATTATTATTTAATATTTACATATATATAAATATTACAAAAAATAGAAAATAGAAAAATAGGGCAATATCCCTAAGAATCTGGGGCATTCAATGCCCTGCTGATACCCTGTTGCTGCCAATCCTACCCCGAGGTGTTGCTGCCAAGCCTGCACACCCAATACTGAGCCACTGAACAACCTCGTCCATAACACCACTTGCAAGAAAAACCAAAGAAGCAAACCAGAGAAAATGAGAACACATCAGAGTTTTCATCAAAGAGGAAAACAAAAAAAGTTATCAAGGACAGAAAGGGGCTCGGTTTGTCATTCAAAAGGGGATGAGGTTAGAATAGAGAAAAGAAGTCTTTTCTTCATTTTTTTTTTGTAAAACTCAGAGAGGGTTCTATAAAACACCTCCAAAAAATATGTAAAGGGGGAGGGAAATCAAATCGAAAAAGAAAAAGGTATCTCTACCATTCTCATTTTTTTTACATTGTAGCACCCATCACTTCTCGTGATTAAGAATAGAGTTTTCACCAATCGTTTAGATTCTCATGTAAGATTCCATCGATTGATTCTCGTGATCGTTTGGAGGACTTGTCGAGCGAGAAGGAGAAGACCATACCCAAAAATCCATAATTCTCTACAAAAATTGAAAATAACCAAAAAAAAAGTATTTTTCTTTGATCCATCAACAACACAACAACAAAAAAGGATCCATCT